GGTTCTTCCATATGAACTGCTCTATTAGGGTCAGCTTGACCTCTTTCTGGACTTCCACAACACTTTTACAGCACTTCAGATATCGATTTTTTTAGGTCTTAAGGTGAATGTCCAGGGTTGCAGAGTGTCCCTCACAGAACAGAATAGATAGTGCCCAGTTTTGGGCACTTCACTCTTGAGTAAGAATTGAACAAAGGCCAGTGTAGATGCACTGTAAGTGAGTGAGTGCCACAGACCCTGCAGAGATTTGGAAGGAACAGCTGTACACCTAAGTTTTCCTTTTTCAGTGCCATATTTAAATCCTAAAATCAATCCTACCTGCAATACACACAATCAATACAGCTGGCTACAACTCCCATTGACATCCACACAGCATGCAGGCATGCAAAATTTTGATGTACATGTGATGTACATGCCTAATGACTCACAGATTTACAAATGAGGACTAACCGTTTTCATGGAAAATACTTACAGAGCTAGCAAGAGTTAACAGTCTTAAAAAAAACTGATGTGCCCCTTTAATACTGCCTGTACTGGCACATCTTCAAAGAAATATAGCTGGCAAGAATATCCATGTGATTGTGCATGTAATAGGTATTGGCTAAGCCAGAAGTTCTCCCAAGGGCTCATGAGAAATTCTCTGCTTGAATTCTCAGTCATCAAGGAGCTCCAGATTTACTAGAAATAATGCATGCCAAATGGGGCAGCAGTACCTGGTTCTCTAACCAAGGAAGTCAAGGGCATTGGCCTTTTCCAATTCTCCACAATTTTGTGGAATTCCTTTAATGCATAGACTTGAGATCCCCAGATGCATTTCCTTCCTTGCAAGGCAGTTGCAAAAGTGATACTTTAGTAAACTGGAAGGCACTTCAACCCTACAAAATGAAAAGAGGAGCTTTTTTGGGCAGAAAAAGAATCCAACAAACCAAGCTGTTGTAGTACATTTTTAATATACGATTTTATGTTAGCCAAGGGCAAATCATGGTGGTTTTCTTTCAGACTTTTTCTAATTTGGTGACTAATTATGGTTCTTATTTCAATAGGTGCATTTCAGACAAATCAAGAGAGTTCACAGTTCATAGTAACTTTGAAGTGCAATATGTTACTTTTCAAATATGACAACTTGCTGCCTACAACATTCCCTATTGCTTCTCAAAACCCTTAATTTTGCTGAATGTCAGGTCAAACTGTTTGGAAATACAAAACAAAAGCACTGCTCAGAGAATTGCCATCCCCTCCACTTAGGGCTGACTGTGGGGAATTTTAGGTTGGAGCTCCTGTGACTTCAGCTACAGTACTGCTGTCTCTAAACACTTAAATGCATTTTTTCTCAGGTAGGGCCTTGACACCAAAAGCATCAGAGGCAGATGACTAATGAAGGCACAGAGAGACCTGTCTGGTTAAATCTGTGCAAAATGGAGGTCAAACATTGCAAAGTCAAATTTATCCCTCATTGTGCATCCTGTATGCCCAATATTCCAGTATGGTAGGGTTAGATGCTACTTTTTTAGTTAATAAGGAAAGTCATCAAGGATCAAAATGCATATCTTTGAGATTTTAATTAGTTCCCTGTAAGTGCTGTGCTGGTGGAGGGTGAGGTGTTATCCCTGATAACACTGGGCCACAACACATGGGCAGTCCACTCCATGTGCTGGCTCCACGTTTTCTCTCCCTTGGGTCAGTATGTCTGAGGTATTGGTGTCTTGGGACATTGGTATGTTGAAGTGTGACCAAGGGTTCCTTGTACTCTTCAGAGAGATTTTTAATCTCCCACTTCTCTTCTTTCCATGTTGCTCCTGAAAATGTGAAGTTTCTCAGTTTTCTGGTGTTATCTTGGCTCAGGGTGATGTTTTCCTCTTCATGGAATTTCAGTTTCAGCCAGAGCTGATTCAGGATATCTACAGCTGGGTCAATGTGTTGCCTTTGGTTTTAAGGCAGACTTTCTGAACATTTGTAAAGCTTTCACTTTTTCTGTTAAATCATCATGTTCTTGCTACACTCCCCTTAGCTCCACCATGGAGCTAAAATAACTGAGCAAATCAGCTCAACACTCTTGTTCTCTTCCAGCTCTTTGAGCTTCTTTCCAAAATCCATCTAAGTTTCCAATAAAGTCTTTGAACTTAACTGCTAATTTGAGAAATAACTGGTCTGCCTTTTAAAACTTTTTTTTTTTAATTGTTCTTATTTGTAGTTGCAGGAAAGTTACCAAAGCATAGCTGGGAACTATCCTCTCAGCTGAAATAATTTTTCCACCCTCAGAAAACTGCATTTAACCCATTAGACATCAAGTGAACTTGCACTGTTTTCCATAAGAAAATCTCACTATTGTGATAAGAGGACAATTAAGAATTTTTACAAAGGTTTCTATTTCAGTTATCTAGTATTTACTAGTAAACAGTAAAACTGGGCTTGTTTCTGGGTTTCATTTTGTAGAACTGGGCAAAGAGGATGGGAAGAAATGATGCAGTTTCCTATTTACTTTCATTCTTGCCTTCCCCTTAATGTGTCTCATGTAGTGCAGAGTTAACTGCTCCCCTAAACCTCACCACTCCCAAAGCAGGGGAGCAATGACTGAGCAAGCTGTATTAGTAGCTGTGGATGAAGAGACTTGTACCTTGGCAGCCCTGTGCAAAGTTAAAATCCTTGGCTTGTCTCCAGCAACAGACGTTTGCCCCTTCAAGCAAGGCTGAAACAATTTTATTTTCCTGAGAGAGAAAATGCATTAGACAGGTATAGCTGACTCAGATTTTCCATGGAGCATTGCTAGTTCTCTTTCTTTAAAATCTGTAGATGGGGATATAAGGGGATGATTATAGAGAAAATATTTTGCATGAAGCAAGTCTAGGTCTGTGTGAATAGGTTGGCTAGAGGTTGGGGTTTTTTTCCCCATAGGACTGTGGAAAGGTCTGTGCTTGCTCACATGAAAGGCTTTATTATCTCTCACTGCAAAAATGCACACCATGGTTTTCTCTCCTCCACATGACCTGCCAGGGCTCTCCCAAAGCAAACCACATTGCAGAAGCATTTAGCAACTCTGACCCAACCTAGCCAGAAGCTAAAGCCCTCCAGCAGTGTCAGGGATCTCCAAGCCCCCTCAGTGGACTCTGATTCCAGCTCCTCCTAAGGAGGAGGGCAGAGCTGAGGCTGGAAGCCCAGTGAGGAAGCAGTGTCCTGGGCTGTGCTGAGGCTCAGCTCAGGCTGTGTTAGAGAAGTGCCCTCCAGTTGTTGATGCTGAGAGGACACTGAAGGAGCTCCTGACAGTTCATTGGCACCATCACAGTGTTCTACCCATCCATTAAATGTGTTACCCTTTGTGAACCCCAGCTGAGGACAAGGTTGTGTGTATCTGGTGTTTGTGCAGAGGTGCTGGCAGAGGGAGCTGCAGGGCAGCCTCTGTGAGGAGAGGTCAGGGCTATCCTGTGCCAGACATGACCAGTGCCAGCCCATCCCAGAGAGCTCCATCAGACCCAACACAGCTGAGCCCCACAGCCAGGATGGTGGCACCTCTGGGGAATGCATTTGAGAAAAAGGAAAACACATTGTGTAGCAGCTGTGAGAGGGAGGATAAAAATATCAAGTGAGAGAAGAAGCCCCACCGCCATTCAGGTCAATGCAGAGGAAGGGGCAGGAGGTGCTCCAGACGCTGGAGCAGAGATTGCCCTGCAGCCCCTGGAGAAGCCCCTGGTGAGGCAGCAGTGCCCCTGGATGCAGCCTGGGGAGGACTGTGGTGGAGCAGAAACCCACACTGCTCGAGGATGCCATGCCAGAGCAAGTGGAACTGGCTGAGAAGGAGGTTGCAATTTGTGGAGGGCTTGCCCTGGAGCAGGGCTCTGGCAGGACCCCATGGACAGAAGACCACTCTGGAGAAGTCTGTTCCAGATAGATTGGATCCTGCAGACCCATGCCAGAGCAGTTCCTGAAGGACTGTCAACTGTCATCATGCTGGAGCTGAGGAACATCAGGAATAGGAAAGGGTGGCAGAGATGAAGCGTTATAAATGGATCTCAACTCCCCTGCCCCTGTGTCTGCTTTCCTGCACCACTCAGAGAGAGGAGTAAAGGAGGTAGGAGTGAAATTGAGCCTGGGAGAAGGAAGAGATTGGGGGGAAAGTGTTTTCAACTATGTCTTTGCTACTATCCTACACTATTTTTAATTGCCAGTTAATGAAACTAACCTGTTGCAGCACATCTTTCCCTTCACATAGTCCTGCTGGTAATGTTGGCTTCTGCCTGTCAGCACTCAGGAAGGTGCCCAAGTCACCCTTCTGCTCCCTGAACATCATCTGAATGGACAGAATCCTCTTGGAGGCACTCAGCAGCCTGATCTTGCTGAAGCGAGTGGAGGTCAATATGATCAGCTGGCATGTGGACAACAGAGCTCTCCAGCTGCAGTCACCAGTTTCTGGAACCAGAGGATGAATTTTGCCACATCTGGTTCTCCTAGGGATCCCATGCTTTACTGTGCATGCACAAGACCATTAAAGATGGTAATTTGTGAAATGATGTGCAGCTTTCACTGACAAAAAAGCTAAATTCTTGCCTTGCCAGAAATGTTGGGCCCCTTATTCTGGAGAAGATAGTGAGAAGTGCAGAAGGGAGCAAGGTTTGAAGCTGGTAGGAGGCAGTTGTCAAGCTAGAAGGAAAAGGGTTATTGTTTACCAAGGAGCATCCACCATCTAGGAGAGGAAAGGTATAACAGCTCTATGTCTCTGTTTCCTTCCCCTGGAAGGACTGCAAAGATAAAGGAGACTTCTCTTCGGATCCATGGTGGAATGAGAGGGAGGGAAAGAAGGGTTCCCCACCTGAAAGGAATAGACCTGCAGTTTGTGAGGCAAAGACAGGAAATGGGAGACACAAGAAGTTTCTCAGCCAGCAGCAGAAAGTTGTATCTGCATACAGAAACACCATGAGAACTACACAGAAAATGTGTATCTTTTGGAGATCCCATGGCTGCCTACTCGGCCTGAGTAATTTTGTAAAAATGGCTGTACTCAGATGTCCGTTTTGAAGTAAAGAACTTGACAGAAGATTTATTTATTTATTTGCTGATTATACATCAGATCAGTTCTAGTCCTACTTTGAAAAGGATTTCCTGGGATGTGCACAAGCTCTTCTCTGCACTGGAGAGTATGAATGCTCTGGCCTAGTCTTCCTTAGCAGCTGGATTCACAATTTTCCCCAGGAAGAGCAGGCCATCAGTGGTTTTGTCAATAATCATCATCAGGAAGGCCCTGTTGAAGGTGATGTGAGGAGGGGGAGGAATTGGTAGGCTCGCTGGTTTTGCTTCTAACGCAGTCACTGCAGCAGCCTCTGTGCCATTCTCTCTAACATCCACCGTGGCCTTGTGAATTGCCTGCAAGGAAAACAGATTATTATCTAGGCACAGGAGACAGAGAAGCGGCTGGGGGAAAATGTGCTTGCTTTAACACTGTGAGAAGATAATTCTTAAATTATGAATGTAAAATCAGTGCAAAAAAAAAAAAAGTACTCTTGTCCAGCCTTTCCAAGACAAGCAAAGTTTGCTCTGATTTCAGGAAAAGTTTTCTTCAACAGTCAGAGTCAAACATGCCTGCTTGCAGAGATGGAGCAACATAGAGGGTATTTTTTATTCTGTTGTTTCTCAGAGTAAGATTTTGTCCTTAATGCTGAACACAAAGGAAGAAACTTTTTCATTTTGTATCAATTTCTGTATAAGCAAAATAATTCTCTCTGCAAAAGTAATAGTGACAAGCTTTATAGAGTGTCTTTCTGCAACAAAGCTCACAGATAAGATTTTTCAGGGCTTTCTGTGATAGGTATAGCAAACTCGTGTTTAGGAATCCACATGAGCTATTTCGTTGGTTTTGGACAGCCTTCTGTTTTCTTCCTTCATTGTCTGAAACATATCTAAAATTTCATCTCAAGAGTCTCTGCTTACCCTTCACCAATTTACTTGGCTTTCCAGGCATCAGTCCCATATCTACAATCCAGCTGTTTCAACGTGACATAGGGAGGAATGTGCAGAATCACAAATAATATATGATGGAAGGACCTCTAGAGACCATTGAATGCCACCAACCCCCCTGCACTGTGTCACCTCTGACACCAGAGAGGGTTACTCAGGATCTAATCCAGTCGAGATCTGAGTATTTCCAAGGATGGAAATTACATAAGTAACTCATACTTGTTTTTGATTACCCTCATGGTGAATGTTTTTACATAATACACGATCAGAATATCCCATTTTCTATCTTTTGTGTATTGCCCTTTGATGTATGACAGTTCATCTGCAAGAAGAGTCTGTGTCCACCTTGTCTGCACCTTTCTAATAAATATCTGTAGGCAGTGCTAAGAACCTCCCCACTTCATTCTCCTTCTCCTGACTGGCAACTCCAGCTCTCCCAATTCAACCAGTGCTCCAGGCACACAGCTCACCCTCCACTCCAGGGTGTCCACGTGTATTAGAGAGCCCCAAACTGGATGTGTTGAACTCCAGAGGTAGTCTCACAAGTGAAGAATAGAGGGAAGGCTCACCTCCCTCGTGACACGAGGCGTGTGTGCTTGGGACTCTAGGGAAATAATTTTGTTTATATGTATACTCATATCTTGTTTGTGAAATGGGGCTATCCCTGTCCCACAAGTCTGTTGTCTATATAAATTCTGAAGTGCTCAGGCAATGTACTAATGTGTAATAATACATAGTGTAAGAATGACTATTCCCAGACTTATGTTATAATTATGATTCTTGTCATGCATTATGTCTTTAACATCAGCTTTTTTTGAAATTATTCCTCCTATGCTTTCCAGTTGTTTTCTTCTTCAGAGACTTTCAGCTGAGTTTGTAGGATCACTGTGCAGTAAACAATTTAATATTAGACTGTAGGAACGAAAGTCATTTAATGCCTAACCTTTTCCTTCCTTTATTACCACCATTAAGCAATGACCACACTCCAGAGGTAGGATCAGCCTATTTGTAGGATTAAACCTGCATACAAACAAGGCAGAAAAATCTCTTGATTACCATCCCTGCTTGCATACTTACTTTGGAAACCTTCAGAAGAAGATTTTTTGCCACTCCAGAGAGATCAGCCTGATCACTGAACACCTCTGTCACATTCATTTTCTCAAACAGGCTCTTGAGATCATAGAAGCCAGAGACAGAGAATCTTGGAAGGTCCAAGTAGATCTCTCTTTTCAAAAATAAATAAAAATGTGAGTTTGTTATTGCAAGATCCCTTGAAACAAAATCTGTTGCAGGTATATATCCATCCCAAATACCCATGGAGCTAAGGCTTGGCTTTCTAAGACAGTGATAAATCTCATGTTAGAGAAGCAGAAACTGAGGTACTTGTGTCAGCAGCCACAGTCTGATCCCTGATGGTGCAGGGGAAGAGTGATGGTTGATGTAAGCGACTACTAGAAAGTATAATCCAGACTGGAGAAAAATAAATTGTATTTTCTTTTTAACTGGATTCCTCCTACTGAAGGCAGGTTCCTGAGGGCAGTCTGCTCATGTACAGGATCCTGACAACTGGGAGCTGTGACTGGGGGAGCCAAGAGGGGTCCCCTTTGGAATGAAATCACATGATAGCTAGTCTGTAAGAAGCTGAGTAGTGCTCATTCCTCAGAGCTGTAGTTAGCAACTCATCATGGTATCCTAAGCTTTACCTTTAGTGGATGAGTACTTTTGGCCTGTTCAATATTTAAGCAAAGCCACAATTAAAATATTACCTTTTTTTAAACGATCTCAACCAGTCAGCCACTGTTTCTTTTAGCAGAGCATCTTCCACCTGTTTCATTGTCCCTTCATCAGGCAGAACAAAAAATGAAGTAACATTTCCTTTGTATGGGATTTCTACTACCCAGCAAGACAACTTCTCATCCCTGTGGACATTGAAGTGCTTGTTCTGATGCATCATTTGGACTTTAACAGAATTCTTTGCATCCAAAAAGAAGTCATCATCTCTTGTGATTAAACTGTTGAAAGGTCTTTCCCAGGAGCCTTTAAAAAAAAAGAATGAGTATAGAATTGAAAGAAAAAGAAAGTAATTAAGACATGTCACATTTAATTGATGCTTAAAATAATATACTTGAACTGTAGAGACAGCAACAAGCCTGCCTCAATTTAAGGATGCTTGTTCCCTGGCCATGGAAAGAAGCTTCACCTCTTTTCAATGGTTTGAATAAAAATCACATAAGAAAAGTATAGGTTGAGGCTAGCAGTGGAAAAGAGATGAGCCTTTGCCTGTTCAGATAGTGGTAAATCTTTCACAGACTCCAACTATACAAGCTTCAGGCTTATTCCTTCCATGCACATGTCATCTGTGTTTGACCATGTCCTGCATAGCCAAACACCTATGCCTTTCAACAAATGATCATAAGGTTCAGCTCTGAAGCTGGTTTAAAATTTGTATGACATTGATCAGTACTTCTGCTGGTTCTTTTATTTTTTCATTCTTTTTTAAATTTCTCATATAGAAAAGATTCTTCATACCGGTCTTTCAAATATTTTCCTGTGTAATTTAAAAATAGAAAGATATGTTTTAAATTAGATGATAGGATGTGTTCATAATGTGAAAAAGTTTTGTTTCTTAGAACTTCCAGAGCTTATTTGTATAGCTGCTACCCATGTCTGTCACTCACCTTTAAAGAAAATGTAGTTAATGAGCACCATCGCAGTTTCTGGTTCAAGACTCTTGACTAAATCAACAATTTTGCCATGTGTTTTTGTTTCCACATACTTATTGATTTCCTTTACAGCCTCAGGAGCATTTTTGAAGTTGCTAGAAACAGCTTCAGTGTAATAAAAATTTGTGACGCCATCCAAAAAGTTTTGAAGCAATTCCACTTGTTTATCTACAAAGAGGGCATTGCCCATGTTCAGTTGGGCTTCTCGGTGAGGGTCATTCAGCAGCTGGAGGATATGCTGAAATCCCTCATGAATCTCCTTCTCCTCTATCTGTGTCAGGTTGAAGGCAAGGCCTTTGTGCAGCTGTCTGAGTGTGTTTGATCTGGCCCCCAGGGTGAGCATTGCAAAGGCCGTGGAGATACTCAAAGGAGAGAAGAAAATGTTCCTGTTGCCCACCTCATCTCTGATCTGCTTGTAAAGCTTAAATGCAAAGTCAGCATTGCTGGGGGCTAGCTTGACATAAGGCAAATTTTCAATATCAGCCTGGGACTGGTCTTCTGGAGAGTGATGTATTTGTTCCTGCTGTCGACCCTGGACTTGAAGTCCAAGAAGCAACAAACACAAATACAATGCAGACTTCATTGTCCTGAATGGTTCTGTTAGGAAAGAACAGAGCAACTTTTAGATCTAGTGAAGTTTTTCTTTACTGGATAAAAAGATTTTGTATTCTAGATACTGATTTTCAGATGCCAGTCATTAGGACTACTATTAGAACTACTATTCTTTTTGGAAATACTCTTTTACTTGGCCTCCAGACAGTCTATTTCCAGTCAATTCTCTCAGTTTGTAACCAAGGAGCAAAGGAAATAAGACAATAACGTGGTATTGCTAGGGAAGAATCAGCTTTTCTGAGTCATTACGTGTGAAATAGTTCTTGCTTCTGACCAGTGTGGCCTCAGTGCATTCCTCAGTACCTTGGGGCACATGGCTGAATTCATGTATTGGCACCCATCTATCTGCTAAGTACTTCACAGAGGGACCAGCTTTTGCTGATATATTTCTGTGGTACCCATGCTCTTGTTATGACTTTGGTTTTCAAGCACTGCAGAAATAGTCTGTTAGAGCAGTGTATAAAAACCAACTAAATGCTCAGCCCTTAAACTGTTTTTATATTTCTGCTTCTTATATAACAGCTCTTACTCAAGACCTTTAAAATTGAGGCTAAATCAAGAAAGTTTATTGACACTATATTGCACATAAGCTATCCATAAAGTTGCAAAGCTCAAGACTCAAGAGCTTAAGAAAAGCTACAATGGAATCTGCCTTGCTGTGTATATTTCATTTGACAACCTTTCCTTTTCCTTCAACTGACATAAGCAAATTCTATGTAACCCGCCAGTCTCTCTTCTGTCCTTTTGGGGGAAGAATCCTCTGACATGTATGGAGAAGAATGCTCTCCATATACATCGTAGTTGTGTCAAGACAGACCCGACTGGCACTAACACCAGTCTTTTATTAAAAACTTTTTATGCCTTCCTTCAATGAATTTCTCTCAGGTAACTCTGACTGTTGGAGTCAGCAAGGCACGAGTCTCTCTGAATTCTTCAGAGAGAAATCAGAGTGCAGGGATTGAATTAAAACCTTTGGATGGATTGAAGTATGTTAAGCCAGTCGCACATAAGTCAGAGGTGAAAGCTTAAGTTTTAACATAAGTGAATAAACAAGCAAATAAGTAAATAGATGGAAGGAGTAAGTAAGTAAATGGAATGAATAAGCAAGTAAATGAAATAAGTTTTAAGTGCTTTTAGTAAATAAAGGTCTCAGATACCAGAAAAGTAGTACGTGTTCTACTGAAAGTTGAAAAACAATAGTCCTAGATAGTAGTGTTTCCGTGGAGGCTCCAAAAATCTAGTTTCGGGCATAATAAAGTTATAATTAAGAATATTGCTTACATTTTTCAAATAGAACAAGACAGACCATGTACATAGTTTATACATAGTCTGGCGTACTAAAAAACCTAAAATTCTAATAAGTTAAGAAGTAATGGTCCAAGTTTGTGCCTTAGCTTATTGAGAAGTTTCTATATAAAAACAAGCATCAAGGAAAGCTGGTGCATTTTGCTACTGCATTTTGCTTTGCTTTTGCCTTTGAGACTGATGTGCTTCTGCAATAAACAACTTTGTAGCAACTATTAGCTGCTTAGCTCATTGAAAAAAACCAACCCGCCTAGTTGGGTGCCTAAGAGCATCCAGAAACCTAACCTCACATCTGACTCCTTTCTTCATAGGCAGCTGCACACAGACAGCATTGACTCTTCTCTCTGCAAGTTCTCTTCTTCCTCCTGCACTGGCTAATCCCAACCTGTCCCTTACCCAGCCCCCTAACCCTGTCTGTCCCTCACACAGCATCTTCTCACCTTATCTGTCCCTTGCACAACCACATGTCCTTTACCTCCTCACAGCACAGTCAGCAGACTCCATCCCAAACGGCAACACACCCCCCCACATCCCATCCCCCTACATCCCATCCCATCCCATCCCATCCCATCCCATCCCATCCCATCCCATGCTGGAAAGAGGCATTCCAGCACTTGATAATTCATTTTGTTCTGGTAAAACTTGTTTCATAATTCTCCAAAACTGCCTCTGAGAGAGACTGATTTCTCTTCCAGGCCACTTGACTGCAAGTATCCTGGTCTTTAGGCACACTAGACAGAAATGAAGCTACTCTCATTAGCCCTGGAATAGTTGGCACATTGAGATTTCAATTAAATTTATTCCTCTGGGAGCAGAGACAAGATTTTGTTCTTCATCTTGGTATTGATTGTTGGGTATTCCTTTTGGACCTCATATCCCTGTCATCCTGTCACTATAGCTAGGAGGTGGATCACTGAATGAATTCTACTTCAAACATTCAGAACATTCTCACAGAAGCTAAAATAATTTCCAAATACTGTACAAAACAAATTAATCTCAGCAGTAAATAGCAGGGATCACATACAGCATAAATTCAAAGACTTCTAAGAAAGCATAATATGGTACTTACTGTGCTGGACTTTTCTTTCACAGTGCTTCTTCCCTCTTATTCATTTGCTTCCTAGTATTAAATAAATGTCCACTGGTAAAGATTAAACAGGGCAAATAAGAGTTATTTGCAAAGCAAAGATTGAGTAAACTACTTTTTCCTGGCTATCAAATATTTAAAGTCTTTTTCCCATCACACAGCTGGAATGATGCCAGCACCTATGTCTCTAAAGGAAGAGAAAGACCAGGCACATTGCTACCCTTGGCTCAAACTAAATTGCAAGTAAAAGAGCTTTACCAATAACTGTGGTAAATGAGTTCCTGAAAACAAATCAACATGAGAAGAACTGGAAAACTAAGAAAATGCCAAAAACATGGATGCCCTGCCCCACTGAACTTCCTGCACAGGATACCCTAATGCAACAATGCCATCTAACTGAACACCCAAGGCAGCAACAAGTTTGTTCATGTACAGCTCCACCCTGCCCTAAATGGCATTATTTGATGGGCTCAGAACACAGGTTAGCTTTTTGAGAGACCTTTGATGAGTACTTTAGAAACTACTCAAGTGAAAAATAAAGCATAGCATGGCTTAAAAACCAACCAAAATAAGAAAACAAATGGAAGAATGAAATAGGCAAACTTTTCCACTGCAAAATGTTAACTGAGGAGAAGAGACATCTTAAACCCTTGTGCTATCTATGCATAGGAGAAGCATGAATTACATACATATCATATGTATCTTACACCAGGATCCCTCCCAGAGGAAGCTGAAACAGGCACAATTCAGCTATTTAGAAGGTTATTTAAGGATGAGGTGCATGGCACTTATCCTAATTAGCAATGACTAATTATTTTCATTGAATGTACATGATTTTGCCCCAGGTAAACTTACCATTTATCTACACATAGGAATCAACAATCATTGTTATTGCTATGTAACTACTCTTTCTTACAAGCCCGAGGCAGGGTTGGTCAGAATATATTCCTACAGAGAGGGTTTTTTTCATGATACGTGCCAGTACCCAGAAAGTTTATTGCAGTATTATGTAAAATGACCAAGTCTCAGGAGTAGTAAGTATGCTGTTGCTTAACTCTAGCAAAGACAGGATATATTTCTCAAGCTTAGGCCTGCCTACATAGACAGCATTAATCTTTCAGCCCAGTCCTAATGCTTGGCTAACCATCTGAAGGATGCCACTGTTTCTTGAGAAGAGTTTCTGGGAACAGCAAAGCTGCTGCAGTGATTCCTCTCCTTTCTCCCAGGAGATGGAGCAGCACTCAGCATGTCAGGGAGTGAGTGTAAAGTTGCTTCTGTCCCTGTTCACAACTCCCAGGCACCAAATCCTCTGACCCTGGCCCAAGTGTCTTCCTAGACAAAGTTAAGACCAGCAGTTATAGCGGACTCACAAATTATCATATTCAAAGAATCGGCTTCCCAGCAATTCCAGACAGATCAGCATGGTTAATGAACCCATCAGTCATGCCTAGTCCTTTGAAAATCTCCCTTAGGTCATGGATGCCAGAAACAGAAACTCTTGGATAATATATGTTGCTTCTGTGGAAGGCAATGGAAAATGAGGCTGAGTCAGCATACACAGGTATAACCTGCATGTCAGCCAGGTGGCAAGTGTGTGAAAACACAGGGAGAGGAAAGGAGTTTGTTATTTCACTGCACATTCCTGATGTTGAAAATGACTGTGTCCCCAGAACATGGGAAAATGCAAGGCCAAACTATAAATTTTTTGTAGTTTTGCAAAAGGAGAGACATACTAGGGAATTGCACAGAAGAGAGTGTGGAGTTCCTGGATGCTTTGAAATAAGTGGTGGCTGGGTCAGGGGGACTCTTGCTCCAAGAACCAGTGGAGTCATGTAAACGACTGACAAACATATTTTTCCCATTGTCCTGATAATGGTCTATATGGAAGGAATTAAGTAATAATTTCATTCTCTCTCCCTACTCTGACAGTGACTCAGTTATACAATGTGTCTTGGTTCTTCCTGATAGGAGCAGTTTCACCCCATATCATTAACTTATTTCTGTTGCTGCTTGGTCATCAGATTATCATATTTCAGTTGCTGCTTGGTCATCTGATTATTAAATGCTGGCTTTGAAAGTTATGTTTGAGGGCTTTCCAGGGCAAAGGATTTCTGGTTGTAAAAACAAAAGATCAGCAAGATGGATGTGAACTTTACATGATAAATCCTCATGCAGCTGTTTCTTGTTTCCCTACAAAGATTTATCATTCAAGGCATGTCTACAAAAGTTCATCTAAATCGACTTCTTGACACACATAACTCCATTAAAATCAGGAGATTGGTATCATTGCAAAACTGGTGTAAGTAGAATAAAAATTAACTCCTTTCAGTAATTTTATCTTTTTCTGTAGAGGGCATCCCAAATACACTCTCCATATCCTACAAATATTTTGTCCTTTTCTCCTCAAATAATGCAAGTACTTTAGGCTCCCATTTCAAAAACTAGCGTGACTAACAGGAGGAAAAATAAAGCTGAGGGCTAAGCAAAAGTCTGTGACAGAACTGGGAATAGAAACTTAACCTTTCTTACTTTGTTTTCAGCTTCTTTCACCAATGCAATAGGAATCTTTGAATTGAATTTTCATATAATCTCATAGTCTGCTAGAAGAAAGCTGTATAAGCAGAATGAAATACTCAATTTTTTCCTTCTGTGTTATATCTCAGAAGAAAATAAAGTCCTTTTATTTAACAGGTGGGATTCCTTTTCTCATAACAGACATTTTATCTCAGATGATGATTTCATCCGTGTTCAGAAAATAGTATTTTATATTTTCTACTTTGTCTGTACTTAAGCTCCTAGCATTGGATAAAAAAGTGTTTCCAAGAGCATACAAGCATTTAAGACCTGATGTGAATGCCATTGGAGTCAATCAGCTAGCATTGTAATGTCCAATATGGGTAATCTGTCACTGACAGCTCATCTCAGATTTTCCTGATATATCTTCCATTAAGTTCCCAGCTGAAGATAGCAGAGTTGCACCTGACACTACCAAAGCTTTTCAAAGCTAGTTGTTAGAAGTTTTATAAAAAGCACTCAAATAAAACAAGGGTGAAAATAAGTAATAGTAGGTAGAATTCAAGACCAAAATTTTCCTCTCAAAATGTATGTTAGCTTGGATTTAGTTTTTCAAAGGATGCATCAAACTTGAGGAGTTAAAACTACAGACTAAAACCCTGAATTAATGACAATGGTACAAGAACTTAGAGATGGCATGTGTAACTCCCAGAATTAAAATAAATGACAGAAAATGAAAACTGTTGTGCCCTTCTGAGTGCCAGTGAGGTTAAAGACTATCCCTTCCAGTGCCTGAGCCTGACTGGAGGCTCCAGAGACCAGAGAGAGCAGAGCAAAAGCAGTAGAGAAGCTGACCAGGGAGAAGAAAACACTCTTGCCAGGTTCTCAGGTAGTCAGTTGTCTGTAAAACTGTAAGGGAGAGTGCATGTTTTTGAGGACTATCCATTGTCAGCACCCAAAAGGATCTCCACTGTGGGCCTGCTGTTCCTGTGGAGCTTAGTTTTCTTACTCTGCTTGTGGCCACTGGGCTGTTGATAGTTAAGGACGACAGGTTCACATGCAGCAAAGGAGCATTTCATGAAGTCGTGGATAAAGAAAATGTAAAATTGCAAATAAATTTGATACCTGGGTACCATGCAAAAAACGACTCCAAAATTAATCTGTCTGTCTTTGAGAACTTTATAGTTATTACTTTATCAGGTTATAGCCACTTTGGTAATTCTGATTTGTCAGTAAAATAACTTCTAAAATTTTTTAGCAATCAAAAAATATGAGTTTCCTTTTGTTCTGGCGCTGTCTTTGAGAATGAATTGATCACCTGGGATTTGGTTATACCTCTCTGACTCAGCACTAATTTGGCATTAGTATTACTGCAGTCATGCTCTGCTTTAACATCACTGCCAGGTCTGAGGAGAGGGGAGCTCTGCTCTTTATCACTTCCATTTCTGCCTGTTCTCTCTGCCTCTGCACGGCTGTTGGAAGGACAGCTGCATGATATTGGCCTTGTGTCCTGAGCCTTCTCAACAAGGGCTCCATCTTCCAAGGGGGACTCTCCAATGGCCTTTTACTGCCAGCTCATGCCAGTTTTACAGCATCAGGCCACACTTAGCAAGCAGCTGGGTCCTTGAAATAGCGACAGACTTTCTGGATCATAACAAAAATCTTGATTTCAGTATTTTTAAGGAGGAAATGGGATATAGATGATGAACAGTGCCTGTGCTTCCGTAGTAAGTTATATCACATTTTAAATTGCATTTGATTTCATTTATATTAATAATAGAATTAAACTTTCATATTTTATGCTTCATCGTAGTTTTTATGTGCTCAGCTTTGAAACGTTTCTGGTATCTGCATCATCAAAGGATTGCAGTATCATCCAAGGAACAGCAAAGATCCTTAATGAAGAGCAGCCTTTTGAAAATAAGCATACACAATTACAGCAAGTACTCAGGACTAATCAGGAGAGACCACCCAAACACATCTGTGCTAAGTATGTAGGAGTCTCACAGTCTGTGACTTGAAGCAGTTTAGAAGGGCATTTATTGAACTGCCTGGTCTCATTCCACATCAGGGTCTCCAGTTCCCTCATTTCTGAGAAGTATTTGTGAAGACTTATCAGCACTACCTGGAACTTAGTGTTATTCAAAGAAATGCAGATTGCCAGCAGAGGAGGAGCTTACAGGGGGGCTGAGTGATGAAGGGACACTTTCCCACTCCCCTGTTGCTCACTCTGGCTCTGTTTGTCCCAGTACACAGAGCAGTTCTGGGGAACAGGCCTGGCCATCAGCCTGCAGACACATTCTTACACTTTTAGCTCAGTTTCAGACACATGTCACCATATGCTTCTTCCAAACAAGTGCTAAGCATGTGTTTTGGAGTTAGCACAAGGGACATTTCCAGTAAGTAGATGGGATAATTTGCAGGGTCAGAGTTAAGCAATGTGGATATGACCATATTGATTGGATATTGACCATATCCACTGGTGATGAGCCAGCTGACCTCATGGTTAAAGAACAGAATCTTAAAGAACTTTATTTACCAGCATAGACGTAAACTCTGGAAATAGGATTAATCTCATGCTTGTTTTTTCCCCTTCCAGGTATTCATATCCTATCCCTTTTGATCATCCACTTACAAGGGACTTCTATGTACACAAAACACAAGATTAAACCTATAGTGCAATGCCAGTATGGCTTTTGGATAGCTAGCCAACTAAAACATTCCCCAGCACTGCTTCCACATAGGATGTTTGTGTAGAGTTGGTTACATTAATGGACAGCTCAAAGAAGCCAGTGCAATGTGGGTGGATGCCATGAGCTGTGAATGTCCTAAAGGAGAGTATGGAATAAGACTTGGCCTTCAAAGGAAGTGCCTAGGCCTGGTCTAAAGTGACTGACTCTCCCAGTGTGTAATTTGCAGCTATGCCTTCCTTCTACTGAAAACCCTACCAATGTCAGAAGCCAACCTGTAGTTGCAGAGAATTCATTTGGATTTATCCACTCAAATTTTATTTGCTTACAGTGTTTTAACTGAGTCTCTCAGCTGGATATTACCTTGCTTTTCAAAGATGGCACTGATCACTAAAAGGCTGATTTATCAAATTATTCACAATTCACTAACAGGCATATCTCAGTGGTTATTTTCTATGGAAGGATGAAGCAAAAAGAATGTTTCTAAGAATGACTGCATGCTTTCCTGATTTTTTGGAAAAAGGAAATTGTTAATAACAGTTGGGATATAATTTTATTCACAATGGACAAGAATTCCATAAAATGCAATTTGAATCAATAAGACCAGCCACTGACCAGTCATTTTTGACTTGGGTCTACAATTTTTCCCATGAAGAGGATGCTCTGAGTATACTGATCAACAATCAACAGCAAGAATGGATGATCGAATTTAACAGTGGGAGGAACAGAATGAGGAAGAAAATCTATACTGCTGACTGCTGCAGCCTCTGTGCCATTCTCATGAATCTTCAGCAGGGCCTTATGAGTAGCCTACAATAAAATACAGCAAAAATTAATGTGGAAGATGTGGTGTGAAATTATTCAAATTAAAACAAAGTTAATTCAACTACTGCCTTTCACAAAAATTGTTGGTAAGCCAGGAACCAGGAAGAAGGGTGCTACAGCCCATTGTGGGTTTTTTAGCAATGTTGTCTCAATAAGCAAATATTTATACAGTGTTCCTCACCACAAGTATATCAATGCAGACCTTAGGAACTGCACATCTTGTGAAATTAATTGAAAGTAAAATAACTAAGCAAATTCACTGGGAATATCAATTTCAAAAGGAAAGGAAATGGGGCTCCAGAACTGCTCGGTAAGTATTCCTAACAGCACATGCATTACAGTTTAGCCAGGTAGAAATTCAACCTTGATGCAAATTTTTTTTTGTTAAATTATTGTTGGGCATTTTAAATCTTTTTATTTTACTAGCCCCAAAATATTATAAGTGCTGTTTTCAGAATGGCTGTAAAAATACTAGTTTTCAACTTCATGTTATTTTCAGTAAATGGGATGTTTTTCTCAAGTCTGGCATATTTTATATTGTTAGCACTCAACAGAGCCTTCAATGGTAACAGCAGTTTCTAAATCCTTTAAAATTATAGAATGCATGCTAGAAAAAGACACTTTTTTGGTGGATATGCTGATGCAAGACATGCACAACACAGTTACCCACAGGCACTTCTTTTACATGCAGAAAATATGCTGAGTTTAGTTTCCTGCATATATGCTGAACCTACCCCTCCATCTACCCTCCAACTTTGCTTGTCAGACAAAAGAAAATATCCATCTCTCAAGATCTTGGAGAAGTCTGATTGAGTTTAAAGGGACTTTACCAGATAAATGTTCTATTTCAGAGTATCAGCCAGCACTAACAATAAGTAAAATTTCACAGGTGAGCTTAGGGAGAGGCAATTGGCTGTTAAGGAATCCATATATGGTTGTTTCTGCTGATAAACTTACTTTTGAAACCTTCATATCAGGGTTTCCTGTGATTCCAGACAGATCAGCCCGATCAGAAAACACATCAGTTACACCCATATTCATTAAGATCCTCTTTAAGTCATAGGTGCCTGAAATTGATAGTTTTGGAATATGCAATTCCATCCTCCTGTCAATTCAAAAGTAAATTATGGTAGTTATTGCAACCAGAGCATGCCTTGGACTGAAGATTCCTAACTTGATGGTGGTTCTTCTGTGCTAAAATGCTAGTCTTTTCATCTAAAAAACATGGCAAGAAAAAGAAGATAGGAAGATGATGGTCTGAAGGATAGGAAAGTATGGAACCAGAAATACATAAGTTTGTATGTCTTGTATGATTCTGCAACACAGTCACTTTATGAGACAGTAAACAGTAGTGCTGCCAGTATTTTTGGGACAAAATTTGCATTCTTTTTCTAACCTTGATGTTCTGTTTTTGGAATTACACCCCATTCACTCAGAGGGGTCTGACTGCTCTGTCACAGTATTACCATTCCTAAAATATTTTGCTTGAGACAAGGGAAATGGAGACACTTAGCATCAACTAAAAAATATATGGGGAAAAAAGAATTAAATTTCCCACCTCAGAGATCTCTTCTCTCATCACGAGGCAAGGCTGATTCTAATTTCTGCTGAAAGTATCATTTGATCTGATCCTTTATATTTATTCTGTTGTTTAAACCCCCCATCAAAAATGCAAACTGTAAAATCTGACCATAGCAGTTAGACTTTGGATTCTGACTACCTTGAATGATCAAATTAAAATTCTGTATTTACCATCTTTGAAGAGATCTTTCCCATTTAGAAACAGTGCGTTTTGTCAAGGCATGTTCCAACTGTTTCATTTTCCCTTTATTGGGCAGAATAAAAAATGCTGCAACATCTCCCTTGTAAGGAATCTGCACCACCTTGCAAGACAGCTTCCTGTCAGAGTATGCTTTATAAAATCCATCTCGAACCATCATCTCCACTTCAACTGAGGTCTTTGCATTCACATGGAAATAGTCCTTGTGAGTTCTCTCAATATTGAAAGGATTTTCCCAGTAGGCTTAAAACCAAAAGAGAAAGAATGGAATTGAACACTTATTTCAGTGAGGATATATTAATATAGTCTAGACTAATGTACAATAAATAAAACCATAGCTGAAGATTTACACTTATACTCGAGGATAAAAAGTATTTCAAGTTTATTAAATATCTTATTCTCTGTAACAATTAAATATCACAGGTTAAATTTTGTATGGACTTCTATACAATCTTTCTAAGTCAGATAAATTAAATGAAGTAACTTCATCATGTTACCTTATGTTCTATTTGAAACAAATGAAAACACAATCCAGGGATTTGCTGTCTGTTTTCAGAATATTGCTTGTAAAGCAAGTTTCAGAACAGATGTCTGACTTTAAAAAAGTAGCATGTTATGCTCCTCACATGGTTTTTTATATGTTTTTCATCTTGTAGTGCTGAGGAAAAGCTTACATGCCAGAGAAATACAAACTTTTGGACCTGAATATAACTGCGGTATGGTAAATGGAATACGGCCTCAAGGTCTTTAGTCTTCAAAATGGTTTGTTCTTGATGTTTATTCAATTAAATTTTCTATGATATTTTATTTTGTAATAAAACCAGTCATTCACTAAACAAATAGACAGGGATTACAGCTTGCCATTCTGTAAGTATGTTTTCCTGGCTTTTTTTTTTTTTTTTGATGTTGAATAGAAATAGCCTAATTTGAAAAATAAATAATGGAATGTGAACTCCATAGTATTCTGGTTACTTTATAAGGTTAAGCTGCTACAAATGAACACCCAAGAAGAAGTTAATAATTTCTAAAGCAATACATTCAAATACCTCTTGGGATATGTGTAATATGATGACAAGGTGTAGAACATTTGGGCTCCAGCTCCAGAGGTACCCAGTTAGTACTCATGGACTGTAAGTAAATTGAAGTTTTTAGCAATTTTTGTTAATCATCATCTTCAGAAATTAGTTTTCTACTTCACACATACAATGTGAAAACATCTTAATTTTTAAAATATTAAGTAGATGAAGTCTGACAGGATAATTAAACAATGCATGAATCTGTTGTGCTCTGGCAATTCCTTGAACTTGAATATTGCAAGTAAATGAACTCTTGTGCTTAGAAGTCTAAATATATGCTAGAAAATTTTTTCATGTGGAAGAGGCTTCAGAGTTGAAAAAATTCAATTTTTTTCCTAATACTCTCATCTAAACACATTCATTTAAAAACTATTCACGAATAACTTGGTGTACTTGTTTTACTTCAGGTGAAACAGCACTAAACAGATGCTGTAAGTAGCATCTCTTTAACTTACCTTTGAAATAAATGTAGTTAACAATTACCATCAGAGTATTTGGATCAAGGTCCTCAAGTATTTGGTTTATATTCCCACAGGTTTTATTTTTTATGTAATCATTGATCTCATTTTTAGCTTCAGTGGAATTCTGGAAGCTACTAGAGACAGCTTTTCCTCCGTACAGTCTTTTGATGTCCTTCAGGAACGATTTCATTGGCTTCAGGTGTTTGTCCATGAAGAGGGTGCTCCCCATGCTCAGCTGCACCTGGCTCCCAGGGCGGCTCAGCAGGAGGAGGAGCTGCCCAAAGCCACGGTGAATCTCCTCCTTCTGGATGTTGGTGAGGTTAAAGGCCAGTCCCTCCAGCACCTGAGTCTGGCTGCTGCCTCGGGAGCCCAGGGACAGAAGGGCAAGGGCAGCAGAGATGCTGACTGGCGAGAAGAAAATGTTCTTTGCAGGTTCTTGGGTGGCTGCTTGCCTGTAAAACTGAAAGGCAAAGTCTGTGTTGCTTGGGACTATCCTTTGGCAGGACTTGAGAGGATCTTCCCCATGGGAAGGCTGCTCCTGGGGGTCAGTTGGCTCATGCTGCTCAGGGTGGTGATCAGTCTCGGTCAGGCTGTGGGCACTGAGGTGGAGCACAGCCACCAGCAGGCACAGTGGGAGCATGGCCTTCATCATTCTTCACAGATACTGCGTGGACAAAGAGCAAAAGGTCTTGAATGATGGAGGATAGCTGTATTGGTATCTCATCCTTTATTTCTGTCTGCTACTGCCTTCAAGTGGAAACCACTGTTATCTCCTGACCTCTTCCTTTGCTATGGAAGTATTTTTAAAATCCTTGTGCTTCTCAGTTTACCTGTAATTCCTATCTATTGCTGCCTACTTCAGTTCTACTTTACTCTAGCTACAGAAGTTCCTTGTTAGTGGGGAAAGAAACATGTGAGTATAAAAGAAAAATGAGTCCAAGGGAGAGAAAAAGTGAAAAGGTGCCTTTTATAATCTTTTTTAATGGCAAAGCAACTCATTAGAAGCATCCTGGTTAATTCTTTTGTGCTTATCACTTAAGACCTCCTAGGGTTTGAATGAAGTTTTTGTTAAATGGCAGTGCTACGCTGCTATGACAAAGGAAAATAATACAAGATTGTAGAATTCAAAAGCACTAATTTCTCTTATTCCTGATTCCTTTTGCCATACAAAGTGGCTAATCATAAGAGCTAGTAAAATTTTTCTGCTTGAATACTTGATTATATTAGAATATGTCTGTCTGTTTTAAATGACCACTCATGTGTCGCTTGTCTTCCAGATGGGCTCCTTCTTGTGTGTATCCCACATCTGGTTATGGGAAGGTGAGACCATTAGTGTGGAGTTGGCCTCTCCTGTCTTTCCAAACTTCATTTCAGCAGGCAAGTATCCTTTTGTAAGGTAAATATGCTTAAGGCCAGAGCAGTGCTCAGCAGCAAGACTGGATCAGGGCATCATTTGTAGTGGCTGTGACCACTTCTTGTCTTTGTTTGTTTACTGTTTTCTCTTTTAACAGTTAGCAAAAGAACATGCTGGGATGATTTGTGGTGTTTAAGATGCTCAGCCTGTCAGAAAACCAGTAAGAGCTAATCCTGTTAAAAATATGGTGCCAGTGACTAGAAAAGCTCCAAATAGCCTTTACTTAATGTCCTACTTGAAACAGAAGAGCTTCAGGCAGAAGATCACAAGCTACCTGCTTGCCCCTCAGTAGTCAATAGTAAAGGCACTCAAAGACATGGGTTCAGCAGAGCAGATGAGATGTTTACTGGGATTTTCTCTGCCCTGGGACAGCACTCTGACCACTAAGGTTTGGGTGAAAAGGAGCCAGCTTGTCTTTTTTGCAGCTTTGCTCTGGCTGATCTAGGTAAACTGGAATTTACAGAGGACGTTGGCATAGCAAAATCAGTTTGTGAATTCTGTCTGGGCCATCTTAGTGTAAGCAAAACATTTACTCGTTCACTTCAGTTTTGGTTATTTGATTGTAAGCTTTAGGGAAAATTAGTAATGATTAAAAAATATTGACAGTTGAGAAGTCAGAATACTTCTGTTATTGAATCATATTTGTTCTAGATGTTTTTGAGCTATTTAGGATAAATTCAGATCAGAGTTATACTTTGTTGAGCTGCTATAAAGAATCCCCAGAATACTGCTATGGAGTATTTCTTGAAATTAAGTTCAGCCGACATTTGAGCACAAGGTTTCACCCTTGAAAGCAGATGTGCTTTATGACTCACTTAGCTAAATACAACACAGCTGAGTCAAAATCATTAAGGTAAAGATAACTAAGTACTTACTTTACATTCAGCAGGCTCTTGCTCTCAATGGGCTGTGCTGTTTCTTGCTGCTTTACTCCTACTGCTGTTTTCCTCTGTTAAACGTTACATGGCTTCAGATACATATTATCTACAAATAGAAAGCTGAATGTTGATGAAGCCAGTGTTCTTGGACCTTGTATGCATATGTCCACACCTCTTCACTCCAAACAGAACAAAGACCATAGGGCTCTGGGCCCAGAGTAGAGTGTTGCATCCCAAAGGGTATGCAACTCCTAAGCAAATATTTATTGGAAATTATATTTTGGTGTCAAGAGCAGCTACTCTGCCCTATGTGCTATCTGAGATGAATATAACTGTTCATCTGGAGACACAGTTTTGCCCAGCACTAAGCTCTGAAGGCCAGGGTGAGGGAGATACAAGGAGCTTGTACAACTTGTCCTAAGTTGTACTACCCAGCTTACTGGACTCCACTTGTGTGCCAACATCTCATCTTTTATTTCTACACAGTAGAAACCTCGCTGGTTGCTACTCAGAAGCCACTGAGCCCTCTTGGCCTTATTAAAAAATGGGGTACCTCCTTCTGTCTTGTAGGAATGGTGAATTTTAGGTCTGTGGCAATTTATTGAATGGTCTCCTCACAATCAAATAATTCTTTCAGTATCTCTGTTAAGGACAACCTAGCCTATCAAGATCTAAAAAGTACTTAATGTAGACTTCAGCACTTGAAAAAAGCTTTGTAAAATACGTGCCATCACTCCAACTGCTCAAAGGCAGTACTGAACAAATGCAACTGCTGTAATGTATGCAAACAGCAACCTAGTCTCAAATACATCAAACGATAGCAAATGATGGAAGAGAGTAACCCAGAAATATTAACCAGTAATAAATTAAGGCAGTCTCAAACTGCAAGTCTCACCCTTCCTATAAAGACGTATTTCCCAGGAATCTTCCAAAGGAAGATAAAGTGCTGTGGAGCAGGTTTACCACATTCATGAATGGATGAGCTGTTCAGATGCATGGTTTGATCAGCCAGCCAGGAGAATGCCTGCTTAGTCTCTCCATGCCTTTGTTATACTTTGCAGGGCTTGTTAGTGCCTGCTCAGCAGACAGCTGTAGAAGTGCTGTAGAACCAAGGAGCTGTGTGTGTAAAAGTGTGTAAGCACAGCAGTTCCCAGTCCCCAGCTGTGCTGCTCTCAGAGGTCATTCTTCACCTGCTGGGACCCATGGCCTCGGTCATGCAATGGGTTCCCTGCATGGTATTTACAGACTCAACACTTGCTAAAATTTTTTTTAAAATTTCAGAATACAGCTTAACTCTGCATTTTTGCCTTAGATATAGCCGAAGTTTGCTGTTAAGTATTTTGATTTTGAATTTGTGTTTTTTCTTATTAGAGTACCAATTGCTGCTGTCCCTTGGAGTACTTGTGAAGGTCAGAGGAGGCTTGATGGAATAGCCTGTTTTTCTTTTTTTGCTAGCCACAAAAACTCTGCATTTAAATTGAATGAATGTATAAGCCAGAATGCTCGATGGCACAAGTACAGTCTTTCAGGGCAAACAAGAGAGGTGTTCGTGGTGCTCCAAGACAGTCAGGCTGTTGGTGGTCCTGGGCACTTCTTTAATCATAGAGGTAAGCAGCATTAAATATTTACACTTCTGTGAAACATTACATGGATTTAAAAAAAAAACCCAAACCTATCTGAGGACATAGCTAAATGCTGATGTAGCCACGAAGAGAAGGTAGAAGTCAGTGCTTGCCAGGCCAGCTGGCATTAATGTTTGTTGTCCCCAGGCATGCATAATAGCCATCTGCAAACACACACTGAAGAGGAGAGGTCCATGGCCATGAGCAGCTGTACTACTGGATATAGCTCCCAGCTTATTGTCAGCTAGAGACACAAGAGCTAAGGCATCTCCTGGAGTGTGTTATGGGGCTTTAGATTTTTGATCATGCAGAGTGGGCACCTGCTTCAACATGGTACTAATGATTGCTTAAATCCATGCTTATGGACCAAACAAAAAATGTCTTAATGAGTCTGCACTTCATGAATACATTTGGCAGATATTTGAAATAAATACTAAGGTGTTTGATATTTGCTGGCCAAGTCATGATTTTATCCAAGAGCCCTGTTATTACTAAGAGAGTGTAATTTTAAAATTCCAACTTTGAAAACTCTACCTGTGCTTGTGAAAAGTTTGTACATGAAAATGTTACTGGTCCTAAGTAGTTATGTATTTTTTAATTTTTTTTTTTAGTAGCAGTAATGATTGGCTTGCAAGTGACTTTAAAAACAGCATAAGACATGCAAACACAGGCTCTGGATGCACTGAAATGTGTCTCTGATTTGCTTAATTTTTCTTGTTAGCACGCTGGAGAAAGAAACATAATTTTACTCTTAGTTCTAATACAAACACAGGTCATCTGCAAAGTCATTCTGATCTGATGTATTGTGTTTATCCTTTCAAGAGAGACAACCATGTTGATTTTTGTCATTGATACTGAAGCATACTCTCCCCTCATGTTTCCACTTGGCTTGGACTGTTAGCATTGCTGAATTTCTGTGAGCACTTACACAGTGGCTGTTCAATGAGCCATGCCTAATAAAGTGATAAGGTTTAATTAGCCCAGCTTAATCTGACAGTGTGCTGCTGGCACACTATCTGTTTGTACAGCTGGCTAGTGATGCATGTATGCATATGAAATAAAGATCACTCTTTGAAATTTTTCTTTGCTGCTAGTATTGTGTAATTGAATTTCAAGTTGTCTTTTCCTAGAGACTCTGCTTCCCTCTGTACAGGGAAAACAGGTCTCAGTTAAGCAGATTTACATGTTCTTCAGTCTGAGTTTGGTAGAGGCTGTTTTCAAGCTACAAATTTCATCTTGTTGTTTAATCACAGCAAAAGTTTGGATCACACAAGAAAACAAAATCTGTGCAGCCAAGCTGCAAATCCTTAATATCTCCGACATATAAAATTGTTTCAGGGTGCAAAAGGTCTGAGTACAGCACATAGGCTGCTTAGGGCAGCATAAGGTCTGCACAGATATAATAATATGTTAGAATTTACAGTATCTTCCTTTATGCCTTAAAAATGTGATTTATACTTTTTTCTTTCAATTATGTTGCTGTTCATCATGCCTTACATGGATTTGAAAACTCAAAACTCTGAGCCAAAGTTTGATCAATGTTTTTTGCTACAGACAGTTTAACCTACAGCTATAATCGATGACAACCACTGAGTAGTGAGAAAATAAGATTCAGCAGCCCTGGCTAGTGCAGCCTCAGTGTGCTTCCAGCAAAATTCAGGAGGTCTTTGTGAACATCTTGCAAAGAAAGTGGGAAAATTTCATGCAAACAGAGGTTGGACAGTACAAGTGTACAGGGAGGTTGTTGGTGCAATGGCTCCCCAAAGTGATTTCATCAGAGGAATAAATCTGTGTAATAAATCTTAGTAATAAATCTGTGTTCAACTTCTGTCCAGCTACATTGTCCAATGGTTTCTTGCAGCAAACATAATCAGTACAGCAGAGAAACATTAAAACTTGGAAATTCTAATCAGACATTACACAGAGGGACAATTTCAGAAATATGTTTTAAAGAATTTTACTTTTTGGGGAAACATCATCAAAAAGTGTCCCAGCGTGTTTTCCCCACAGGTTTTGTGCTTGTGCAGCAGAATCTTAGAATCAAAATCTAGGATGGAAGAAAACTCCAGAGACCCTTTAGTCCAGTCCTTTGCACAAAACATCAGGTTTCTCAGGTACATGTCTCCAAGCAATGTATTTTACAATTTCTCTGGACCTCATCTTCCAGTATTTAACCCCTGCATGGTAAAAGCATGTTCCTTATTACAATTTTATACATTCAAAGAGTTGTGTTCTCTGATCTTGAGTGTTTTCCACCTCCAGCATCATACATGTCTTTGTCATGATCCAGGAACTTCTGGGCTGTCATTTACAGAGAAACCATTGCATTTTCTCAGCTGGACCTCACTTTGCATTAATTAAGAGAAAACTTCCATGGAGCTACTGCTCTTCCACTTATGTCAGGAGAGGTCTTTGTGAAGCCAAATCCACGTGGATACTTTATCCCCACTACCCTGGAGGGCCTCACAAAAAAACTCAAAGGAGAAAATTAAATGTTCTTGTCACCTGCTATTGCCTAGATCTTGTAAAGCCAAAATGTAAAATCATAAGCATTGATGACACCTATCTTCGGTAGAGTCAGGTTTTGACTACCCTGCTGCATTCCAGGAAATGTAGGTAATTTACAGCTCTTGAGAGGTACTCTTTAGTGGAATGATCATTTAGTTTATGGGATTAAAACCCAATCACACAGTGAGCTTTTATTTACTGGCTGTCATTTACAAGATAGTGAGGAAGGGAATTAACAGCTGAGTGAGAGAGCATAGCAAAAATTTCACACTTCTGCACAGAAAGCCATCAATATTTGTTACAGAGGTTAATTTTATGCTAGTTCAAATCTATGAACTCAAAGACCAGAGTGAGAAAAATGAGGGAAATAAGGGGTTTTAATGTCTTTGAAGTAGGTTCTAAAGAAAGATTGGAACACACAAAAAATCCACAGAGTGCCAAAAATAATTCCTCATTTTTTCCCACAAAAATGAGTTACAAGACTTAGACCTCAGTGGTCAGTTCAGTGTTGCCAGGTTCTGTGAATATTGAAGTGTTTTGAGAGGCTGTTTTCCCCTTAAACATCTCTTGACATTTCATCATCTTCCCCCACCCAAATTCCACCTCCATCCAAAGCAGACATGTCACATCCAGCTGGAGTGCCTTGGAAAGAAAATGGAGCTGGGCTTCTTGGGTGATCAAGAGAAGAACATTGTGAGAATCAAGGTCAGTAAGAAAAAAAAAATAGATAAACATAGATTTGAATTTAAATGTAGAAATAGAAGATATATCTGACTGTTCTTACTGCCTCTGAACTAGCTTGCTCTTTTAATTTTTCTGTGTTGAATTAAATTAAGATGTATATCTATAGTGCCTTCATCTGCACTGCAATACAAGTACAGAAAAAAATACACCTTTTAAAGAAATAAGAATTAAAACTGTGTTTACCCCAGCTGTGTTTTTCGACTTCTCTTTTTCTTAATTTCTTTTTAGTGAAGAAACTGAATTATTTCTTTAAGGAACCCCCATGTTATACTATTCAAAAACTGGCCAAAAAGTGA